AATATCTGTAACCCATGTTGTGTCAAATAAATCTTTTATACGAAGGGCGACGCCTCCGCCGTTTTGAACACGACGTGGTATTCTATCCACAACAGGGGCAAAATGCATGCTACACATTTCACATTTTTATTAGCAAAATTTTAATTCTGAGTAAAATACGTGTAAGTTTATGGTTGTATCGTGACAAGCTGCGGAAAAGTTCAAGGGGTGTGCACACTTTAAGGCGTGGTGCATGGTCTGTCAGCAAACATCACTCATCACTGGGGAGAAGCTAAAATCAGGTCCTGGTGGCCTATTTCTGTTTTTCACTTGTTTTTGATCATAACATTAAAAACAAACATCTTGGCGGAAAAAGTTCTTCTTTGTCTCCCATCGTGGAGCGAACAAGTGGAGACTGGAAATGCCCTCCATCCGTCCGTCCATCTGTCTGTTTGTCCATTTGTCGGTGCATGTTTTTAGCACGATAACTTGATAAATAAGTGACTTCCATTTTGGTGTGGGGCTGCATCTAGATTTAAGAAAAGTTCCTTTCAAAAACTGGGTTGCCATGTCAAAATTCAAGATGGATGCCACCGTAAATGTATATACTATATTTTCTGGCATATAAGTCAGTTTTTTACATAGATTTGTCAGTCCTGTGATTTATACATTGAAGTGACTTATATGTGGGGTTTTTTTCCTCTTCATGATGCTTTTTTTGACTGATGCAACTTATACTCCGGAAAATACAGTATACATAAACCTTGTGAGGTGAATAACTTAAAAAATCAGCAATGTGCTGACTTCCATTTTGGGGTGTACCTGCATTTAGGTGCAAGAAAGTTCCCTATTAAAAATTGGGTTGCCATGTCAAAATCCAATCCAGAAAAACACTCCGTTTCAAAATCTACAAGCATTCACTATTCAAATCCCTCAGCAACGGGGGATATGGGCTGTTTCTTATATGAAGTCATAAACATTCCAGACAAAAATTTAGATCAGACTAAAACATGACATTGGGTTTCTCCTTGATTTACTTACATGTCTTGCTTCCCAGATCGGTTGCAGATTTTGCCCTTTTTGTAGAGGAAGTAGAGCACGCTGCCCAAAATGGCCAGAAGCAGGATGCAGATTATGATGACAGCAATTATAACACCGTTGCTCTCTGGTGGAGAAGAAGCAGAAGAAAAAAGAAATCACTGCAAGTGACTTTTGAACGAGACAACAGATGGAGGCAGGAGAATCCGATGAGAGGTGTGGGTGCGATAGAGTTTTCTAAAGCGAGTGTCGTGCCTTAGCATCATTCAGGTGACCTAAATCTGGCAACTCAAAAATAAAAAAATGAGGGTGAAAACATTTATTAGGACTGCAGGAGGAGTGGTGCATTTATACAGGAAAATAGTCTGACAACATGCAGAGGAGGAGGTGAAGATGTTTTCAGCAGCAAAGACAAAGTCTGCTGAAGGCGAGTCAGGGAGGTGATACGGAGGAGAGGGAGGCTCGTTGCCTTTCTGAGAGAATCTGCAACAACGCAACGTACAAACCTTTCTCGATTTTCTTTGAGGTGTTGGGTGTTTCTGTTTTGATTGGGAAAAACCAAATGAGCACAATTATCAGTGAGCTTAGGAAGTGATTGATTCCAATAGGTCAGGCACACACACACACACACACACACACACACACACACCAAGAGACACACTAAGACGCACACAGTTCAGACGAGCAGCCAAGTCTTGAAGAACCACTTAAGAGAATCTTATTTGGAAGTTAAAGTGATAGTTCAGATGTTTTGAAGTGTGGTTCTGATGAAAGGTTACTAACATCATATTTTGCTTATTAACTTGTATTAAATCTGAAACAACGTTTAGTTTTGACTGGATTGATGAGCAAACGGCTAGTCTGAGCTGCTAATCTCTGCTCCCCGTCCGGAAGTGGCAGAGCAGAGTGGAGGGTGGGGGTTGGGTTCTGATGACAGGGTGGGGCGCCCTCCTTGGATAATGGTAGGTGAAACTGATTTCATCTAGGTATCGTTGATTTGGTACGGTATGTAGAACAGTCACTGGTTACTCAACTTGTTCTGTTACCTGCCTGGTAGATTCCTCAGGGTCTCATGCTTTGTTACTACATAAGGGTATATGGTGCAGAGGGTATTTTGTGATAAAAGAGCAATCTGATGGAGTCATGACAAACTCATGGTGCTCAGTACGTAAAAAGAAATAAGGGTAATGAAAATTTTAAAGTATGATCCCAGATAAAGTTCAGCTTAAAGACTAGTTGTAAGTCAGTGTTCTACCTGCATAATATACTGATTTTATGTTGTTTTATTAATCCTAATAATGTAGTGAAATGCACTTCCAATGGCAGGACAATGCATGGTTTTGAGTGGCTTTTAAAAACATTTCCAGGGTGGGGCATGCCCCTGCACCCCTTTAGGACCACTTTGTGTCACGGGCGTTCACCAATATGTATAGGTGCCTCTCATTGCATCAGCATATGTTGGCAGGTATGTGAATATTAGCATGCGCACATAAATACAGCATGCAGCAACTAGCTTGAGCATTTCTACCATAAGTACTATTATATTTCTGCCATAATAATTATATAATACAAAACTGATGGCAATGTAAAGGTTTAAATAGTGTTTACATGAACCACTAGGAAAAAAATTGAACTTAGAGGTGTTTTAAGTCTTGAACCCACTCAGACTAGCCATCAACTAGTCCATCTGGTCAGAATTAATTATATTTCTCCAAACTGAGGTCGTTCAAAAAGCTATCTACAACACCAAAACTGTTTGTAACTTTTCCATAGAGCTCCACTTCAAAACACTTAAAATATCCTTTCATTTGAACAAATATTGTCCGTATGGTCCAGTGTAGACCTTATTTTAGTCTCAACGAGTGAGACGTATAAACAGATTTCCCTTAGAGCCATAATGTACACCAGAGAGAGCAACACAAGGCAGCACCCTGTAATGGGTCTCAGCAGACTGAGTGCATTTAAAGCATCAGCTCCTTCTTACAGTCTCCCTGATGTTTTGTTTGATTGTGTTGCAGATGTATTGTTTTTTTGCAACTGCACAGCCTGATCATAATAGTAAGTGCTTAAGTGAAACTAAAAACTTTTTTTTTAAAGAAAAACATTCTCAAGACATAAAAATGGTCAAAATAATCCTGTAACATTTATCTAATGATGTCTGTTACAGGATGATTTAGATGTTATGATGTGTTCTCTCAGGAGGATGCCGAAGATGTATACCGGTATATCATTGGATTTATGATAACAGGGTTTCTGCTTTTTTGGCACCGTCGGATACCTATGTTGTCGGCTATTAAAGAAGACGGCGGCAGCAGTTTCGGCCATGGCAAAGCTGCCAACCTTATGTGAAGGATTGGTTTGTGCTTCGAGCTCTCAGACTCAGCTGATTTACGAGCTCAACCGTAAAATGGACGGGATTTATGAGAATTGTGGGCCACTTGCAGCTTCTGGGACTCGCCAGCATGTTGGGGACAACCTCGGAGGAAACTAATAAGCATAGATCAGCGGAAAGCCCATAAATCTGTCCATTTTGGATATCGAAAGTACCAGCAGAACTCGAGGCTGATGAGAAATAACAGACTGCCTGCATTAAAAACTACTGTGGCTTATCTGAATCTGACTTCCCCGTTCGGCCTTGAAGCAGGTCAACTTATCAAATTTCTCCTGGGATGTGTGTAAACTAAAGGCTCTGTTCTATCCATCCCCCGTGCAAGAGATCTTCAGTGAATGCTTATCAGAGCTGTACCGGCTGACACCAACATCTTATCAGGACTGTGGTGCTATCTGGAAGCGCTTCATGGACAAATCTCACCGTCTTGTCATCAAATGCATGTAATGTGTCTATAAATGTGCTTGCTGGTAGAGTTTTTGGATTTCTTAAATTGTGTCCTGACAAGGACAAGGTGTGAAGAGATCTTTTTCTGTAATACCACTATACTTTCCTCATGGTCTTTCCCCTTTTCTATCTAAAGAATAAGGGGCCGCGCTCCTAGGAGCTGCAGCTACGTGCGCTCCGCCCTTCTTTCGGACGACTATACGGAATATAATCTCGCTATACTTCGGTGCAATGATAATACAGCTTATTCTGATTATGATTAAGATTATATTACAAAAGTAGTCATTTCTTCCGTGGTATTTATTCTTTTGTTTTTCTGAGGTCTAACTGAGAAATTCAGCACAACTAATCCAAATAAACACAACCTGAATATGCATAGAAGAGCATTATATACAACTTTATGTATATAGATTTATATATTTATATTTAGGGTCACAGTCTGCATCCTGAATTTGACTTGACTATTTGAAGCAGGCCACACAAAGTGGTCGTTCTTACCTGAGGCTTTGGGAATGGTAGATGTGGTTGTGGTGGTGGTTGTTGGTGTGGTGGTGTGTAAAGCTGAAAACAGGTAGAGGGCACAAACAGGAGCACAGCACACGTTACAACATCGAGGGAAAGGAGGGGTTCACGTTAAACAGCCAAACAGCTTCACAGCGTCTTGTTCGAAACAAGAGGGCACGGTGAAGTGTTTCGAATCACAGGCGACACGTTGCAACACATCACTGAGCTTCAGACCAAGTAACAACAAAACGGACGACGCAGACAAGAAGGGGGAGGACAGGTGGAGAAAGGGAGAACACAGAGAAGCGTACGAGTTTAAACACAACGAGGAGACGACAAACGGAGCAGAAAAGCAGCAGGAACTCACGGAGTTTGGCCTTGATGTTGAACGTCACCCCATCAGTGCCCAGTTCGTTTGAAGCATTACAGAAAACAGAGGAGTCCGAAGTGACTTGAACGGTAACCACGCTCTTAGAGCCGACCTCCGTCTGTGTTTCAGACGCTGCTTTGATGACCTGACACAAACACACAGGTGAAGACAGGAAGGAATCAAGAGAAGGTCACCAGCTTAAAAATCTCTAAAAGTTTAATCTTACTTTAGTCAATAAAGGAGAAGGTACCCGTTTCTTCATTATTGTACAAAACGTGTGTTTAATCATCTAAATGATGTGCATTATTATTGTTATTATTATTATTATTATTATTATTATTATTATTATTATTATTGTTATTATTATTATTATTATTACCTACAGCTGTAAAAAGCAGGTGATCATGTGCCTGTGCATGAGCCTGGTTTCCCGTCTGTTAGAAAAATATCTCATGAACCACTTGGTAGATTTTTAATAAAATAATTAGATGTAGATTTACAACGGGTTACGTTTTAGAATCAAACTAATTTAAGATCGCTGCCACTGCTAATAAACCTTGGGAAACACAAAATAGGCAATCATTCGAGTCTAAAAAAGTTAAATCTGGTCCTCTGGACATTCAAAAAAACAAAACAAAGCAAATCAACAAAATCAACAAAAAAAAATGTAGAAACGTTTCGTCTCTCATCCGAGAGACTTCCTCAGTCTGAGGAGCTGTATTCAGCTCAGTCTCTTAAATAGCACCTTCTCAGAGTGGATCAACCAGTTTGCTGCTGACAACCAAAACCAGCTGATCACATGCTCAAGAAGGACCATCAGCCTAACAATGGATCATTAGCACACTGATGGCTGTTTACTGTTCACAGAGGGCTGAGTGATACTAGCAATCACAGCATTGTAAGAGGGGGACAGTTGAACCCGGAGAAATCATTCGAGTCATTTTTACAAATATTGAGATAAAGTTCAATGTGGAAGAGAGTCACTTGCAACATATCATGCAAGGGCTAATAGATTTAAAATTTTAAATTTCGACGTGCAGCACAGCGGGTGATACGCATTCCTTTAAGGAACATTTGAATTCTAAATGGATTAAAGACGGTCCTCTGATCTGGTTTTTATCCATTTCCATATTCTACCGCTTCGGGTCGCAGAGACATGTCCGGAGAGAAACCCAGACACCCCTCTCCCCAGCGACACTCTCCAGCTCCTCCTGGGGGACCCTGAGGCATTCACAGGCCAGAGAAGATACTGAATCTCTCCAGTGAGGTCTGCCCAGGGGCCCCTTCCCAGGGGACACCTTTAAAGGGAGGCGTCCAGGAGGCATCTTAATCAGATGACCAAACCACTATATTCTGAGCTCCACCCAGATGACGGCTGTTTTTGGTTTATATCTTGCTTCCGCTCTTTAAAGTGGAATGTCCAAAGCTGCCTTCTTACACCAACAAGAGTACAACACATGGCACATTATACACCAGTCAACAAACTGTTATACAGCAATACGGCAATTTATAGCAACAGCCTGGACAAGCAAATATAACCTTTGATCTTGACTTGTGACCTTGACCTTGAAGCAGGGGTGCTGACAAGTGCCTGTGACACTCCGTCTAGTGATGAGGCATATGTGTACGAAGTTTTGTTGAATTGTCTTGAGCGGATCAGAAGGTATGGGCCGGACAAGAGAAAGTTTACGGACATACAGAGACTTATAAGTAAATAAGTTGAACCGATAGGTGGAGCGAGGCTGTTTCTGTGCATAAGGATCAGTGATTGGCCTACAGGGGTGTCCAGCTTGGCCGTAAAAGTCGAAGTAACATCCTCCTGGATGCCAGGAACCAACGTTTCCCAGCAAACCATTGGCTGGAAGATGGTAGATGTAGTTCTAATGGTTTTAATGCAGAGGCTGATCAGTGTATACACCCTAACAGAAAAGTTTGATATCGGATGGCTTTTCTCCTAATGGATTTAATAACTGAAGTCTTCTGGAGTCTGATAAATAGATAGATGATAACTTTGCTGTTGTTTTGGAGTTGAAGCTGAGCCAAATAAATACAACTTTGAGTCCCTCCTCAGCCGTACCTTTCCATCAGCGGTGGTCCAGGTGATTTTGGGAGCGGGGTAGCCTCGGACATGGCAGCTCAGGTCCACTGTCTTCTCAAAAGTCTCTATCTCATTTATAGCTTTCTCTTTCATTTCCGGCGGTCCTGCAGTAATGGAAAGAAGAAACAAAGGCTTTGAACTTTCCTGATTCCAGTTCAGTCACACACAAAAACATCCAAGATTTCTAACTGGCTAGAAAAGGCTGGAATAACTTACCCTTGACGTGCACATGCAGTGAGCTGCTGGTTTCCAATCCTTCGATCTCAGAAACAGAAATCACGCAAACGTACGTCCCTGCGGTGTCAAACGTTGCATCCTTCAGGATCAAACTGTGGCCTTTTGAAACCTTTTGTCCGTTCTGCACAGCAGGGAGCAAAACGTGCGCACTGACATAAACTGTAGCAATGAAAGGTTAGCGTCATCCTCGCTTTGAATCCATCAGACTTCTACTTTTATAAATAAAAGATGAATCTCAACAATCAGCTTGAAGGTGTAAGGTGGTGGGCTTCAGTGCATGTGAATTTGTTGCTACTGTTTGTTTATGTGCATGACACGAATGTGTGTAACCTTAAACCAGGTGGTCTCCGTGGAGAGAGAAGCGAGGGCATTGCAGGTCGCCTTTATCTCATACCCCTGGGCCACCACGATGGTTTCTGAAGGTTTTAAAACGGCAGGATCGAGATCTACGCGAACAGAGAGAAAAAGGAGCAAATGGTCAAAAACTAAAAAGGTGATGGTCTTTTTGTGGTGACATTAAAGTGAGGGCCTTACAATTGACGAACACTGTGGTATTTCCTGAAATCTCGTCGTAAGTGTCCATGTCCATTAAGGAACACTCGTATTCTCCACTGTTTAGACGGGTAACGTTCTTCAGCACCACCATGTCACCTTCCCACAAGGCTTCACTCTACAAAACACAACAATATTAACTAAACGTGTGACGATTAGGATGCCACCATTAAAGTAAATACAAATGAAAAAATTCCATTTGACGCCAAAAATCAGCCACATGAGCAGAAAATCGTTTTGCCGATCCAAATTCTCATGATAATCCTGATTTTCTTACGTTCGTGTGCTTAATGGAGATGGAGGAAGGAGAATTCCCGTTGCCTTTGCAGTGAAGCTCTACCGAGTCGCCCTCTTTGATTTTACCCGTTGGAGATTCAACCCACATGTTTACAGCAGTGGAGGGATCTGAAACGCAAACGGAAACAGGGACGTCAGACAAAACCAAGAACTTTTTTTGTAAGCAAGATTCAAAAATTAAATCATGGTCAAATCAAATCTCCAAATCTAATGCTTCTGGCAAAACTGGGCCCACTAATGGAAATAAGAAAGGGACTGGTGCTGAGAAAATGTGCCTTAATCTTTCTTCCTCCTCTTCTTTTTCCTCTAATCTGTATGAAACTTTCACTCCTTGTTTATTATGTGTCAGAGCAGCTAAATAAATATGTTTCTATACATACAGCAGAGAAAAAGCTACAACATCATGAAAATAACTCTTTTTCTTTACAGTCTGTTAAGAAAATGTCCAGGTCCTTTAAAAACAAAAACATTTATAAGTTGATTACATTAACCATCATCTTATCACCGCAACTCCTAAGCAAATTTAAGCTAATGAGATTAATGGAATTATAAAAGTGGTGGCTGTTTTGTTGCAATATCTGTCAAGACAAGAGCTCTCATAAGTTTAGAGTGCTTGTTGCTGTTCCTTCAATTCAAATAAATCAGGCTTCAGCTTATAATTAACTGAAGTTATGTGTGATAATCATTTATAAAACCACAAGTGAAAATTGTTTTTTTTAACTAAAATGCTTTGCAAAGCTTCCAGCGTGGAGCATTGAATGATGTGAACCCTGGTTAGGTTGTTGCAAAATTAACTCTTTCAGGATAAAATCAAGTGCTAAATTCCAGCTGCTCTGCAAATGCACGAGGAGAATAAGAAAAAAATATCACTTTTGCTTTTTGTTGCCGAAGATGTTGGCTGTGAGGCTAAGATACCTGATGGGATCCACGTGCACATCAGACTTTTAAAGCACTTACACAAGACATTGACGTTGATAAATGGGGTTTCGGTCATCTTGGTGGCTCCAGGAACAAAGTAGGTGACCTCGCAATAGAACTTGGCGTCTTTGTCCTCCTCCTGCACCTTCAGTCTCAGCTCGCTCTTCACCGAGAGCAGGCTGCTCGACTCGGTGGTGACGCTGGACACCACGTCCACAACTAGAAAAACCAAAAACCATTGGCAAAGATGAAGCCAAGCCAAAAACCAACATTTGTTTTCAGACCAGAAAATTGTTAAAGTAAAGAATAGGTTTAGTTAAAAAAAAAATGCATGTTGCTTTGCTGCAGGAGCAACTTTCTTTAAAATGCTATGCTATTATCCACATGGTGATGTAGATAAGTTGAGGTGGAAAAACTTGACCTCCAATTTATTTGTTTTTATGCAAGTTTTGATGTGGGCTGTAGATTTGATCAGAGCAGAACCTTTAAATTTGCAGGCAACTGAAAAAGGGACGATCCAGCACGAGCGAAGTGTTCAGATGCTGCTTTTGTTGTGGCTCACCGTTTGGAGAGCTGCGCAGCGGCACGTTGTTTCTGTACCAGGTGATGTTCGGTTTGGGGTATCCGTTTTTCACCATACAAGTGCCAATCTAAGTAAAGGAAGAGTTAGAGGATGTAACTTAACCTGATAAAGCTGTTCCCATGTTAAAGACGTGATTACCTTCGATAGGACGTCTTCGCTGACAGAGATACCAGTTTGGACACCCTCGATGGTGGGAAGCCCAGGTTTTGCTGTAGTGAAAAAAAATAGAACAAGTCAAGTCACATTTATTTATATAGCACATTTAAAACTGTAACTGTTATCAAAGTGCTTACCAAAAAAGGCCACAGGTTCAAATATTAATAACAAGATATTACAGCAACATGAATAAAAGCATAAAAACATGAAATATAATGAGAAACGATGAAATACTAAATCAAATCACCCTGCGTTAAATGTCAGGGAGTAAAAGCAAAATGGATGAACACAATCATCAACAATGAAATACCAAATGAGATCACACTGTGTTAAATGCCAATGAGTACAGATGTGTTTTGAGGAGAGATTTAAAAGTAGAGTTGTTAATTTGATTATTTAGGGAGCATTTGTGTGTTCTGACATGTGGTGACTGGCAGTGAGAACAGAGCTGACAAATACTGTGAAACAAATGCCAAAATCCATAAACAGAATTTTTTTTTCACTTCATAATAGTAAAACACACAGACCACCACAGACAGATAAATTAGTTGGTACCCTTACAGCTCATTGAAACAATGCCTTAATTCTCTTGAAAAGTCATTTAGTTATAAACTATTCTTCACTGTATATCAGCTTGCCTTTAATGCATAACAGAGTAAAAAAACCTGTGAAAATAAATGATTTGTTGTGCATTTTTACAAAGATTAGCTAAAATCCCGGATACATATCTGAGACAACTAATCCTTGCCTTATACCCACATAGCAGACAGATGTGGACCAAGTCTGGCAATGATGGCACCGTTTATCTGATGCCACAACTGGCAGTCGTTGATGCTCAATTCCGGATGTTTTGCCCATACGTATAAGATTTTTAATTATTTATGTCGGTTTTGCTTTTATTTAATTATTTTGTTTTGAAAAAAATCTGTTTGTGTTTAAGCGGCCAGACAGCCGATGTCACGGATCAAGAAACTGAGGCAAGGATTATGAAATGGTTCCAAAATGCACTCAGTGGGAACGCTGGGAGACTGGGGTTGCAGTGAACCAGTTATGAATGCCAAACCACTGCTTCTGTTTGCAGAGAAGACTTTTAAATTCAGTGCTGCTGCTTATTTATTTTTTGGAAATGAGTGATTGTTGTGGACTAAGTGTTAGTGAATTGTGTGGGCCAGAACCAGGCCAGACTAACTTTGCTATGTGGGTACATAGCAAACAAATGTGGTTAGAGCTTCAAATTAAGTGATGACCATAAGTAGTATCACAGGTGTCTTCAAGCTTTCCATCAACCACTCAGTGTTTTTAAAGGGTACAAACAAGTCACTGGGTACTTTGGCATTGTTGTGTACACCATACTGAACAAAGAGCAGAGAAACAAAAAGGCAGAGCTGTCTGTCTGCAGCACTCAGAAAGATTATAGGTATCCTTGTTAGAGCTAAAAGCTACAAGACCAACCATCTACAAGCAGCTCCAGACTCCTGTGACCAATGCTGCCAATATTATTATAAAACATATGGTTCATGGAACATAGCCAACCTCCCAAGATGCAAGAAAAAATGCAGTCCCAGGCTTTTAAAACAAATACTGTGGATGGTAGGGAAAAACCTTCCAGAACCATTCAGGTCAAAGTATGTCACTTACTGGTAGCACCATCCATTGCATTTTGAATTTTAATAGGAGTCGTGAAAGAAAATCATAGGGGTCTCCATTATTGAGAGAAAAAACATAAAAAAGCCAAACAGGAATTGGCCATTTTTGCATGTTGTCAAGCCACAAAGCTTTTAGGATTGACGAGATAAATCTGGCCGATCACATCAGTTGTGTTTGTATAACTATTGCGGAAGGGTATCAACAAATGTATCTACGAATGTATCATTATTGTTAATCTCACAACGGTCATATGACAGTAAATCTCACCAAACACCCTCAGCTTCGTGCTTCCCTCTGTAGATCCATCTGTGAAACCTCTGACCTTACAGATGAACTCCACATCGTCTTCCACTTGCACATCGCTGATAGTGAGAACCAGCTCTCCGGGGGTTTCGGTGTCATTCATGCTGATCCGGTTTGTGTACAGAGTGTTTTTGGATACGGTTGTCCCAAAGCTGTGACGTTCACAGATTATCTGTCTGTCTCCAGAACGTGTAACCTACAGGTTCAGACACATCAAAACGTCACATTTACACAGAAGCTTCTCCATTTGTGTTCATGAGGATTGATGAAACTCACATAAAACCACTCAATGAATGTGCCTCCACTGCCATCGTCTGACGTATACTTGCAGGTGATCTGCGCCGTGTCTCCCAGGTACACCTCCACTTTATCCTTCATGGTTACCTCCACATCAGCCCAGACTGAAAGACACGAAGAAGAACAAGGTTGATGTTTAATTTCTGAGCCTTTGGTCACACTCACTTCTGAATGAATTGGTGATTATTACCTCTAATGACAGGAGGGTTTTTTTTATATTACGTCAAAACTAAGCACTTTATACATTTTTCTCTACTTTTGAAAAAAGAAAAGCTTAATTGTCAATTATGCTTAAAAAAACCATCTTAGCAGTACTTTGATTGTTTTTGTCACCTAATATCACCTGATCAAAATGCACAGAAACAATCGGATTAAAAACATGTAAGCAAATGGTTACAATCCAGCAGGGGTGGAAGTAACGAATTACAAATACTCACATTAATGTAATTAAGTAGTTTTTTTGGGTAGTTGTACTTTCAAGTGTGTAATTTTACTCATACTCAAGTACAGTTTAGACCATGTAATCTACTTCGCTACTTTTAAAATCAGAAGTCATGACTGAGTAAGGCAACAATTTGAATTAAAATTCAAACAGTTCATCTGCATCTTTGTAGCCAATAAGGCTCTCAGATCGTGAACGCACCAGTTACCTATGACGTAAGTAAAGGACAACTCTGTAGAGTCGAGAGTCAATTATGGACCAAAGATTTGGAGAACAAGCCAAAATGGAGACAGAGGACAACACTGTCAACAGAGAAAATGACGAGGTACAGGCTGAGGACGAGTGTCCGTGTCCAAACCTGGAGGAATGTTTCATGTACAGAGGGTGAAAAGGAGACAGGTCCAGATGTAAACTTTGTTTGATCTCTACGGTGACAGCAGCTTACAAGACTTCAACATCTAATCTCAAGAATTATATTGCGGTATACGAGGTTTTACAGCTACCTGCATGATATTGCTGTTTTATTGTTTGTATGTGTGGGTTATTAGTTTGACTAAGTATGCACAGATCTTAGATACTGTCACTGAGTTTGCCTGGTACTAAAATAAGACGGAGCTTCAGAGAAATGTACTTTGAATGTAGCTGTTATATACAGTAAATCAAACTGAATGCTTTCAACACAATAAAACATCAATTGTTTAAAAAGTAATTAATACTTTGAGTAGTTTTTTGAGAAGAGTACTTTGACTTAAGTATTTTTATATCACCAGTATTTTTCCTTGTAATTGAGTACAATTCAAACAGTGTAACAGTACTTGTACTTGAGTACAAATTTTCAGTACTCTTTCCACCTCTGCAATCCTGACAGTACAAATATTGCATGTGTATTTTTAAAAGGTTGCCCACTTCAGCCGGTCTTTGTGACAAATTTCACTTTAAAGCATGATGAATTTACAATGTTTTGTTGGAGATCTTTTGCATTAGCACCTTAGAAAAGAAATCCAACACTGAGACAAACAAAACAGACAAACACGCACAACTAAGCCAAGTTTGGATCCTCAAATTAATTAATGCATGTTTTTGGGGCTGTGAAACCAAATTACTCAGAGAAAGAAAAAACATAATGCAAACTCAACCCAAAGTTTACCCTGAGTGTTTGTTCTAAAATAAAAGTCTGACCACCACTTCCTGATGCAGCCATACGTTTTAAATAATTTTTACAGCCTCGTGTAACCTGAAAACATCAGTAATCATTCTAACACACCTCAAACAGTACACAACTCCATCTTTCTGATCTGCCAAACCCTTTATCCTCCAAACTACTGCACTCAGAGCAGACAAAAGCTTGGCTGTATAAGAAGAGACACCGATTCAGAATTTATAGAAAGTTTAACTGAGGAGATTCAGTGTTAAATGTTCCGTTTTAGGGCCTCGTGAGAAAACTTTTTTTAGGACCCTGAGACACTTTGCATCTCCAAAGAGGCCCTGGAGGTTTATAAAAAGGGACAGAAGGAAGTCGTGTTGGGTGAAAGGGAAGACAGCGATGCTATGGCAGGAATGAGAAGCCCACCCGAGACCACGTTAATGTGCTGCATTCCAACATGTCACCCTCTCACAGGAAGAAAGGCTCGATTTACAGGCAGCATAGACGCCTCTCTGTTCCTTCATGATCTATCTGTGAGGAACCAGGGGTTTTCCCCTTCGGGACCTAGTGACACATCCTTCTGTTTACTGGGGGGACCCTCTGGTTTACGCTCTGCCCTGCTGGGTTTCAGCAGGATGTCGGGCAGAGGCGAAGCCTGGAGGATGTGAAGCAGGTGGGCGCTCCGTCGTAGACGTCACACAGCGCTGCGACACCCCCTCCTGTTTTCTCTTCTTGTCAAACAAGTTTGAATTCCTCCCTCTATGCATTTCTCCACCTGCCTCTCACTCTGCTGTGTGCTGCTGTTTACGTCCGACTAATGGAGCTGGACGGATGCTTTCCTGTTATCCAATTAGTTTCTACGACGCAGACATTTCCTGGCCATTAGCTGTGGAAGGACACCAACTCACTCGCAGCATCCCATTGGCCCTCTCCTCCACCTGGAAACTTGGAAAACCTGCAGTAATGACTTCAGACTGAACGTTTCAGAGCTTTTCCTTCATCCCGTCTGACAGCTGACAGCTACATCACATCTCACTGGTAACATGATCTGTATTTATCCCTAAGATGCAGCCATCAGGGGCACCGCAGAGCCTCACATTGATTTCTGATGACGAGAGAGCACATTCTGGGCTTCATGCACGCTGAATCAGTACGAGAGAAAAACAGAAGAGCATCATCTCCCCAGACAGCAGCGGCTCTACTGTTAAGAGAGGAGTGAACAGTAACGCATCCCCTGAAGAATGTTTCATTCAAGGATGACAGCTTCCATCTTGAATGTGCACTGGTGAAGATTCTCCGTCATCCAGGACATGGTCCGTTCAAAAAAGTTCAAGACAAAACGACTGGACTTTATTTGTAACAGAAGACGTTTCACTTCTCATCCACAAAGTTTCTTAATTCAAAGAACAGAGTGTGGGGTAGGGGTGCACCAATTCCGATTTTGTCCGATACTGATTTTGTTTTCTAAGCGACACTGTCAGGTGTTATAAGGTCATGATGCACCTTCAATTTTCCATCTTATTTTATTGAAAACATACCCTTGAACAATATCTTAGAAACAATACAAACTTGTTTTAACTGGCCATGAGGTAGTGCTCTGAAATATAAATGAATTTTAGATAATTGTCAGAGTCAGAGTCAGAGTCAGAGTTTCTTTATTGTCATTCGCACCTCATGTGGTACATGTGGTGGAGCGAAATTATGTACGCAGGGTCCCACTTACATCCAACAATAAAATGTATAAGAAAAACAGTAATAACATCTAAGATATGAACTAAGAAAAACATCAACTAAATATACACTAAGCACTCATAACATAAAACATTGAACATCAGCACAAACATGAACATGAGTCTGTGAGCAGATGTGCACGCATGGACACATCAACATTGAAACAGATCAGCAGCAACATGAAACAGATCAGCAGCAACATGATATGGTTTTTCACAGTGATTATTCTAGTTAGAGATTCATGAGTCTAACAGCCTCAGGGTAGAAGCTGTTCCTCAGTCTAGTGGTTCTACACTTAATGCTCCTTAACCTCCTTCCTGAGGGGAGTGGGGCAAAAAGTGTGTGTGCTGGGTGGGTGGGGTCCTTCATGATGCAGGTGGCCCTCTTCCTGCATCTGGAGGTGTAGATGTCTGTGATGGTGGGGAGACTGATTCCAACAGATTTCTGTGCAGCCTTCACCACTCTCTGCAAAGCTTTTCTTTCTGCAGCTGTGCAGCCTCCATGCCACACATTGATGCTGGAGCACAGGATGCTCTCCACTGCACACCTGTAGAAGGAGGTGAGGACTGAGCTTCCCAGACCAGCTCGCCTCAGCCGTCTGAGGAAGTAGAGTCTCTGATGAGCTTTCTTGATCAGGCTGGTGGTGTTGTTGCTCCAGCTGAGGTTGTCATTCATGTGTACACCCAAGTACTTGTAGCTGGAGACCACTTCCACCGCAGATCCTCTTATGTTCAGGGGGGTGTAGGTGTTTTTGTTCCTTCTTAAGTCCACAATCATCTCCTTTGTCTTCTTCACATTGATGTGAAGGTTATTCTCTCTGCACCAGCTCTCCAGGTGTTCCACCTCTTGCCTGTAGCTGGACTCATCATTGTTTGTGATGCATCCCACCACCGCTGTATCATCTGCAAACTTTACAATGTGACAGCCTGGATGGGTAGCTGCACAATCATATGTGAGCAGAGTAAACAGAAGGGGGCTCAACACACATCCCTGAGGAGAGCCAGTGCTGAGGGTTATGGTGGAGGAGGAGAGGTTGTGGATCCTCACTAACTGTGGTCTGTTTGTTAAAAAGTCTAGTACCCAGTTGCAGATGGAGGGGCTTAGTCCTAGTGTGGATAGTTTGTCCATCAGGGTTTGGGGGATCATGGTGTTGAAGGCAGATGTGAAGTCCACAAAGAGCATACGGACGTAAGAGTTTTTCTGCTCCAGGTGGTTGAGTGCAGTGTGGACCACAGAGGAGATTGCATCCTCTGTTGATCGGTTCTCACGGTATGCATACTGATGAGGGTCCTCGTTGATGTTGATGGTTGTTTTGATGTGAGTCATGACCAGTTTTTCGAAGCATTTAGCGACTATCGGGGTGAGGGCCACTGGCCGATAGTCATTCAGACCAGTCACTGTAGAGCTTTTTGGGACTGGGATGATGGTGGCAGTCTTCAGGCAGGTGGGAACTGTCTCCAGGGTAAGTGAGGTGTTAAAGATGTCTGCCAGCACCTCACAGAGCTGATCAGCACATTCCTTCAACACTTTTCCGGGGATGTTGTCTGGGCCAGTTGCTTTGTGCGGATTAATCCTCCTGAAGGTACTCCTTACTTCTGCTGAGGTCACGCTGAGATGCTCTTCATCCGGTGGCGAGGTGAGTCTGGTGCTGGGTGGTCTGTTCGGGTCTTCAAAGCGTGGTCTTCAATTGTTGTTAAAACTACAAAAAAAATGGTAAAATCGGTTTCTCGTGTGAGTTTCGGCCAATATCCCAAAATTAAGAAAATCGGGGCCGATAAATCGGTGCA